GTATAAAAATTGTTCACTTCTGACTGGCAACTGGTCTGAATTTTATTGTAGTCACCCATCCAGGCTACAACTGCATGCAGCCCGGGGCCACAATCTGCTAAATATGAGCCGCTAAAATTGAATTTAAAAGCATTTTAACTTCAGTTCACATTCATAATTAATAAGTTATTGTGTTAAATTAATAAGTAATTGGGACAACTATAATTACAAACACAAAGTAGCTTAAGTTTTGAGAAATTAGGCATTTCATACCTACTAACAATATAGTGTAATCTGAACAATCAAATGTTAAAAACATACCTTGGTTTTTGAACTCCATTTGACAGTTAAAATAACAGGATAGGTGGGGAATGGGTTTTATGTCACCTACAACATTATATAAAGAATCAAAATTCATATTGCATAAATTCTTGACACACATCAATTGCACACATTATGTCATACCCTTTGACAACATGAGCAGGTGCCCCCTCCCCCTTTTCAATTATTTAAATCCATTTAACTTCTCCAAAATATCATTTTATTCATTAATTTTTTCAACAATTAGCATAATTAGTTCCAATTTATCCGAAAAGTGCCAATAAACTGATTAACACGAGTTTTGACTTTTGACCTGATAGGACACAGACTACCAATTATTTTGCTATACATTCCTTTATAACATAAAAAATATTTTAAAAAATTACACCGGCTCAACTTACCTGAAACTTGGCACAGAGTAAGACCATTTCAATTCCAAAAATTTACCAAGTTCTCAGGAACATTCATAGTCTGCAAGTCCTTTTATGGCATCTCAAATAACCCCTACCCTGCTTTTTTCACTTTCTCTTCGAGGAAAGGGTAAATATGGGCCTCTTTACACCCTTCCTACTACGCACTTAAAAGCAAAATTTCCCATTATTATCATTTTTATAATTTTTTTCAGACCCTCTCCTTTCCATTTATGCCCAAAAATAACCCTATTCTACTCCATAAACACCCCAAAGAATTTTTAAGAAAAAACCTCTATTTTTAAACTGGAACTACTTGAGTGGTCAATGAAATAGGGGTAAAATTAGTAGTCTGTAACCACTTAGCTGACGAATTTCTATCGCATAATAAATTTACCTTCCTACATTGAAGAGTTCACTACAGGTTTTACAATATCAGCGCGGCAAATTCAAATTTGTAAAAGACAATTCAGAAATAGAATGTAGAAAATTTACATAAATGTTTCAATTGACAAATCATTATTTTCTTTTTAAAGTAAACACTACAAAACATATCTAGGTAAAATAAATCAGTATAAAACAACTAAGATAACCAATTACAAATGCAAACACTTCAAAAATTATACATAAAGTGACAAACTCTAATTTCATCAAATTTTAAAAATAATTAAACTTTTGCCTATCCAGAATCAAAATAGCATAAAAACAATGTTTGAAGAAAAACGTACTGAAAATACTTAAAATAAACTTATTCAAGCTTACCTGATGGAAAAGAGAAACAAATTCCTTTATATTAATTTTACAACTTTATTCTTTTAGCATCGGATGGAAAGTGAATTTCATGAATTCGCTTTCCACCCGGCTTAATTCGGAATTGCTCTCATTGACCAATCAAGAAGCTTGATTTTGATGTCCGTAAGCTGATTTCGCAGAATTTCTTTGATGAGTTGACACTAATTACTGATGTTAACAAAACAGCTAAAAGTGTGAAAGTCAATTACCTAGTTTCCGAAAAAAAGAGTTATTAACAAAGAAAGGATTACGCTGACCGCTGGTGAAAGTAAATAATTTATCTATAAAAAGCTCCGATGTGTCAACTCAATTTTCGAAAGAATTTATTTCAAAAAAAAGGCCGAAATTGGAAAGCATTTTCTTATTTACCTAAAGGCTGAAACAACTGTTACATGTCCAGTGACATGACAATTGAGAACAAAACATGCCAAAATCAAAGAATTGCCGATGTAAATAATTAGAAAATGAAACCTTTTTTTTTCTTTGTAAATTTTCACTCAAGTTTAAGAGAATGAACACTCAAACATTTAAATTGACAATTTGAAACTAAATAATATTTGAACACTTAAAAATAAAATGTAATGAAATATTCATATTTAAAATGAAGTGAAAAATGATTTGAAAACAATCGTAAAAATTTCATGAAATTTCAAAAGTGAAATGTCATGCGATATAACCTGTTATAGATAAGTTTAACTTGATAAAGTCTAAACTTTTAATGTAACATTTACATTCTACTGAGTTCGCAAATTCACGTGCTACAGGCACTTCTCTATTTGTCCTGTGCCAAGTGATTTTTTAGTCACACCTGTTGATGAATCAATACATTTAGGTAGAAATAAAGTATTTTCACACTTTGCAATTCTATCTCAGACAAAGACACCGGAAATGTAAATATTTCTAAATAAAAACATTTTTTGAATCCCGAGACAGTCTGATGATAAATGATTTAAAAGGAAATTAAAAACTCTCTTGGTATTGCAAAAAAAAAAATTGTCTTTATAATGATCTTATTTACAGATGAAAAAAGCACATTTTATATTATGCTAGCCTATTGTTTTTATATAGCAATGTAAAATGCATATTTCGAAAAGCATCGCATAGTTAATGATTTTCTTTAAATCATAAGTAAACACTTAAGGAATATTTTAAGTTTGTGTGAGTTGTTCATGTAAATTACACCTTCTTGTCATATAGGCATAATTCATTAGCGTAAGTGCTTCGTGAAAAATATGCCTTCGTGCAAGTCTGTGTGATATACAAACGAGTAAATTTAAAAACATTCTTAATATACCTACATTTCAAATGTTTAAAAGCACCAAAAATATATTCAATGTTTGATGTATTCGCTGCCCTGTATTGTTACATTTTATAAACGTCTCTTTAGCCAATTTAGGGCCTGTTTCATTCTCAGTGCAGATTTATACATTTGACTCAGTAGTAAAACCCAACAAATGTAAACATTTCAACTAATAAACAGGAAAATAGAACAACACTGTTGAAGTGGCCGTATCGAGAAGATATTCATGTAAAATATATCGTTTAATTTTAAACAGTAATATTAAATCATTACTTTTTGACATTAAAACAATTATTGGCCCGAAATGAAGAAGGGTAAATCTGAAAACAAAGAGATAAAAAGTGCACTGCATGCGTACTTTTTCGTACTCTTCGTAAAATAAATTATTCTACATCAAATATCAGAATATGTCGTGTTATTTTTCGATAGTATAGATAATTATAAACATTGTGTAAAATCAAATATATACATATACCTCATGAACAAATTTAAAAAGAAAGTCATTTTACTGCAAATTAACAAATCTTAGAAATAAAACATTGATGTAACTAAATGATAAAGGTTGATGAAAACATAACAACACGTGTGAAATTAAGTGTCACAAGTTTAAAACTGTATGAAATAGGTAATCATGTATACTATGTCCCGAGGTTGAAGAATTCAGCTTTTTTGTTGATATAAAAGATCGATTTCATCACGATAGAGCACAGCGTAAAACACATTTTACCCTTTTATACATTCAAGAGAAAGCTAAAATATAGAATGTATTTTGATCAATTGCAATTTCATTGGTATCCTTGTTTTAGAAATACCATCAACATATTATGAAATTTGTTTTTAAGTTAAATCAATCTGTTCATAGATTAGTATTACTTGAAGAAATATGCTTAGATTGATCACTATTTGTGATCTTTTTTTTATAATGAGTAGGTTCAAAACACTACTTACTATACATGAATTCTAGACTTATTGTTCCTCGTCTGTTTATGAAGGGTAATGATCAAAATTGTGCTATTTATGAAACAAATTTCCTCTATTTTGCTGAATGTTTAAAGTGTTTTGTATCTATGCTTTTTGATTAATCGTGCAACGTATTAAAATTATTTGTTGCCATCTATACCAAGAAAATTCTTAGGTTTTTAGAAAAGAAAATACATGTAATACAGGGGCGGATCCAGCAATTTTTTAAAGGGGGGGGGGGGTTCCAGGGTTATGCCCCTCTTACCCCCCCCCAATACATATTCTCAAGCAAAGATTCACAGACGTATATGGAAAGATCTAAGGTTGTGGTAAATACTATCTTTGTTTTATGTCCTTAAAAAAAAAGCCTACCCCCATTCCGAACAAAACAAAAAAAAAAAACAGAAAAAAAAAAACAGAACAAAAAAAAAAAAAAACTACGGAAGCCTTAAAATTGAATGGATTCGTATCACTTCCGAAAATTATAAAGAATTTTCTTTAAGAATTTGAAAAACCTTTTCGGGTTGGGGTGCGGGTGGGCTTTAAAACAAAGAGTTACATGTTATTTCGTTCAATTGATCAAGATATTATAAAAACGGTACATATATAGCCAACACAGCCAAAGATCACGGGAATCTAATATCAAATTAATCCTCGCATGTTACATATCATATACAAGATATATAAAAAAAAGTAGAATATTTTCTACCATTCTCTCATAAAAAATATAATAGAGGAGGTGATTGGAGGAAACAATTACTAAATTGTGAGAATTTATCTATTCAAACAATAAATAAATAAGACGTACAAACATATAATCTCGGAAAAAGTTTTATCGGCTCTCTCTCTCTCTCTCTCCACTTGGCAAAAAATAAAGGGGGGGGTTCCAACCCCCGGAACCCCCCCTCTGGATCCGCCAATGTAATATGATTTAAGGTATGCCAAAGACAAAAGGTGCACGACAGCTTATGTTATTTTCCATAGTCTATAATTTTATTAAGTAGTATTAAAATTAGCGATTGCATGGCGTAATCAGAATAGAAATATAATATAAAATCATATAATTTGCGTTTGTAAATCAAGCTAAAGATCATAGCAACGATATATTTATTCTGGTGCAGCTGTCAGTAGATTTTATGCCCGATTTGCACGAAAAAAAATCATATCTGTCATTAATTGCAATAAAATTTGATTGATTGATCCGTTACAATTAAGTATTAAAATATTTCACTCGAGCATTTTCGAACAATACTTGTTGAGAGATACATTTGAAAAAGTGGTAAGATTTTATTTTTATTACCTGTTTCAAAATTCAAGTATGTCAATGATTTTAAGAATGAGAGCACAGCGTTCAATATAATTCACATTATTTTTACATTCCAAAGAAAGCTCTCCGTTCGTTGGTAAAGAATTTGTTTTAAAATTTCATCTAAGAAGTACAATTTTTAAATTATGGCTATTGTGTTTTCAGAATAGATCTATAATTATAATATGACTTTTTAAAGTAATTTAAAAAATCAATAAGTCATACAACAATTATAGATGAATCCTCATTTTAATTGTTATAGAATTGTTTTGAGAATTGTAAAAACGTACGTCAATAAATAATGTGGACCTCCATTGTTCCTTTCCTCCTTGTTATCTTCGCTGTTACATTCTCCAATGTAAACGCTTCATCTCCAGATGAATTCATGGGAGACATGAATGGTTACAGAAGTGCTTGTAAGAAACTTGGCTGGGAACCTAAGCAAGGTTTGTTTCCTAGAGAGTATTAAATAATTAGGGTTATTGAAAAGTAAAGTTCACCTATGGGTTTGATTTAAGTCAACAAACGTTGTGTTTACAAAGTTTTGATGAATTTTCAAAAAATGTTTTAATCATAGAAAATTTATCAATATAAATTTCGTAAAGTGAAAGGACAATATCTTCATATTCTTTCCTATTTACCGGGCTGTCGGTGTCCAGAAAAGAAAAATTATTCCCAATAAATATTTAGAAAAAACCTTTAACAGAAAAAGTCTAATGGCGCCATTCTTTTTTTTAAATCCTTCGAATGTCCCCTCGGAGAATATATAAGACATCAATAAAATGAATAATTTTCGTTTGACCCACTGAATCGATAATGATATTGTATCTGCGGAATAAGTCGTGCATACAAAACATTAATTTAGAAACATCCACAATGTATTTATTCATACTTATTCTTAATAAATGTGTAAAACATGTATATTTACCTAAAGCAAATTTGATTTTATGTCAGTATGTTGCTGACATTTGTGGCAATCCCCTTAATTCATCAATTTTGATGAATATGGTTGGATAGTTAAAAACGATATGATGAACTGTAAATATCAAATATTATTTATAAAAAGTTGTTGAATCAATGTAACCCGTCCAAACAGGGAATGAACAGTTTGTCTTTCTACAGTCATCTAACTTTATTCTTTACATATCTTGTAAAATGTATTTCAATGACTTTTCGTTTATCTTTTTTCTTACATGTAGATTGCACAGCAAACCACGTCATTGCTTTTCAAGCGAATATAAAGTCTCATCTAACAGATGTTCCGGTAAAAACGACTATCAAATTCAACAACGTCCAATTAAACAAAGGCGGTGGCTATGATCCTGAGACGGGAATCTTCACCGCCCCAGAAAAAGGCGTCTACTCTTTTGCCTGGTCCTACCTGTCAAGACAGGGAGGGACCGTGTACACAGCTTTATCTGTAGATAATGAAGACCGCGCCCTATCGTGCATAGAAAACCAGCAAAGCAAATTTATCAACTCAGCAGGCCATTTGGTTTCTGAACTTGCCAAGGGTAGTAAAGTATGGATCAGGGTTTAGCACCTTCCTGCCACCTTCATACATGGCGGATACTATACTTACTTTTCCGGAAGTAAAATAAACTCTTACTGAAAAGATGTCAAATTATTTTCTCTAACAATTATTACTTAATAAAGAGATTGCGAATGATTGAGAACATAACAATGCAAGAAATATACGTCTTGTATGACCCTTTGAATATGATGCTTACTCCTCCATGACAGTCGATTTAACCTCTTTCTTTCAGGTTTCAATGTTCTGTTCATATTGATTTTGTGTTTCTATGAAGACAATTCTTTGACATGCATTTCAGATGTATTTTCTCTAAAACTTATTTTTTTTACTTTGAACTCAACCATGCTTTTAATACTCATCAAGAAAAAGCACAGCTTTTGATGAGCATGTTGAAAATAAATTTCTTTGACTTGTTGGTATGGTTTGATTTCGACATAAAGGTATTTTTTATTTATTTATAATGTTGCATGAATATCTAGATTATGTACCTCTTTAACACGTATGTTCGGCATACCTTCACATTAGCCCGACCTACGACCCCATTAGATGGAACATTTCCTCATTTTTACGAATCAGTGCGTGTATTACACTTTTCATAAAACGCATAATTAATCTACATTTACATTTCGTTTTCTGTATGTTTGACCACGCATTAACTTGATTTACTTTTTATTCATTCAGATTCATGTACATCTGTCTCAAACACTTTACATGTAACTATGTCTGTACAATGTAACCTGTCTTATCCGACACTTGTGCAATCCGTCATAATATGATATCCGATGTAAAATTTCATTTCCATTATAACTTATAATCAAGTACATTTGCTGATGATTTACATGTAATCTCAATTATGACAAACTCGTGATATTGATATTTTTACGATACTTATTCTACTTTTTAATATTAATTTGAGAGGACAATTCTCAGTGACATTAGAATGCCTTTCTAAAAATATCTTAATATATCTTAAATTGGAGAAGCTTTCTATGGAAAAAGTACTTGTAAGTAACCAAGCGATATTAAATCACGAGATTTCAAATCTAGACATAAGTGTATGTTAAGTATTTAAACAATTGCTTCGATGAGAAAAACAAAATATATTAAACCGTGCATATTCTTAAACGACAGAGCACGGATAAAAAGCTTGGTGTGAGTTAATGCAAATGGACATCACTTGTTTTAATATCCTGTTTACTGTATTTACTCTTATACTTGCAAGCGGTTTTTATGATAAGTGGGGTAATTTTTGCGTTCTAAACTTTTCAAATGACTTATATCAATAGAACGAACATATTAATTTGTATTTCAAAATATGAATATCTGACTGTTTCAGTGATTTTAAAGTTAAAAAAAAAATTGCTTAAGTAGGTGCAAAAAGGGATTTAATTAAAATGGTTCTTTAAACAATTCTTTCAAGAAACTTTTATATGTAAGGAATTATATATTTGTGATGTTTTTATGAAACGATATTTTTAATACTGACAATTTTATAAACTCAGCTAAACGTTGTGCATACAAATACTTTTGATCAGTATTATAACATGTATACATCTTTTGTTTAATAATTAATGTGTTTGTACTAGATTGTTAACAAAATGATTTAAACATGTTGGATTTAAAACAAAAATAATAGATCATTTGAAAAATAATGCATTATATTTACTATTAAACATTAAATCTATTGATTTTATCAAAGATATTCGTGTGAGCAAAAAAAGTTTATAATTTTACTTCGGTACATGTATTTATCCCTTTATCTCATGTGTATTTTACCAAACCCAGTACATTGCACGACATGATGTTCTGTAAATGATTTGATATCCTGTTAAATTATACCGCTATCAAATATAGACAGGTATGAAAGAATATTAAATACAGTTCATCTTCAGTTACTCACACATTGATTCATAAACGTTCATTGATACTATATGTATACGTACTTGTCACAATAAAGGGACTTTCATTAGCAACTCCTCCAAAAGTGTGAAGACCAAGAGATGTCCTGATGGGTATACACGGTTTGAAGAATCCTGCTATCTTCTGAACAATGAAGTTTCTTCCTGGATAGAGGCCTACGTAAAATTTTATATATACTTAATGTTAACAGGGAAATTTAAACATTTTTTCGTATGCTTTATTTTCGTCCATTTTGCAATTCTTGCTTATGGTCGAATCTAAATCAGGTCGAATAAAAAAACATCTATTGACCATAACACCGGGGAGTTGAGAGCGACGAAAACTTGTTTGGAAGTTTCAGAAGAAGAAAATAACCTTGTGTACATGTATGATACGACAGAATCCTCAAACTGAAAGCAATCTCAGATGTTCTAAAACAGTTACAGCAATATTAATTTGGAAAAGACAGCCCCTCCCCTGAATCCAGTCGTTGATTATCTAAATGTTATTCTTTTTTAATGGTTGAAAAAAAATGTGTCTGTTAATATTTCTAAATGAATATGAATCAAACTTTGTTTTATCCTTTTTGTTTTCGTTTGGTATTTTAGCAAATTTGCAAAATCTTTGACAGCAGATTAGTTGAAGTGGATTCTTCGGAAGAAAACACATTCATTCAAGGCTACCTTAACGAACACGGACAACAAAAAGGTAAAATGTCATCTAGTGCACTGTACGATTTTATTTGAAAGTGGGGCATATTAAGTTTGGTCGTTCTGTTCCTCTGTCCGTCTGTCTGTCTAGCTGTACATGTATTTCTGCCTGTCTGTGAACACTCGTATTCACGCGATATTTCGGATGCTTTTGAGCTTTTGCAAGGTAATTTTATATTACAACTGCCAAGAGCCACTGTAAGCCCCTATTTATTTTGCGTTCGAAAAGTTAAAGGACAAAGTCACAAACTCATACAATCTGTCTGAGTGTAAACTTTTATTTCTGGGCGATATGTCAAGAAACTTTTCAGTTCTTGCAATTAAATTTTATACCATACATGTAACTCTCTGTGGCCCCTCCAGCCCTTCTTAAGTGCCAACTCATCCCTTGACCCACTCTAGATCCACGCATGCATTTATTTTTTCCTCAAGCAGGGGACCCAGATTCTTTCTATAGAAATCAAACATTAGATTTCCGCCTTTTCCAGGTGCTTTATAGTGCAAACGTTTAGCAAACATAAACCTTTCTGACATACACTTAAAAGGGTCACTTAAAAAAATCGTGTTGCTTTCAGTGCTGCTTTAAGTCGTCTTATTTGCACAAAATTAAGAATAAACGCACATTCCTGTACACAATTTGTTTTCGATATATGTTTTATTCATGTTACGGTCAGACGACACGTTCCTCAAAAAATATATAATTTTTCCTAATAATTTGCCATTGAAGTATAGGTACTTTAACAGGTTTTCTCACAAAAAAATTAGGGTACCTTACCAGGCATTTGGACAAGATACCACAAGGTCAAATTTCTTATAAAACCCTTATGGGTAAACTACTGAATGACATATATCACAATTTTTTGGTGTACTTATATTCAAAACATTTCAAAAACAATGTAGAAATCAGTAGAGAATGACAAATATGAATATTTTTTTTTTATATAAAACCAAGAGAATACAAAACATACATTTGAGGAACATGTCGTCTGACCTTAATTAAATTTGAAAATGTTTAGTCACCACAGAGTCCTAACTGAGAAAAAAAACGTCATGAAAATTTTCCAACTCTTGATGTATTTTTTTTTTCAGGGCGAATGATTACAACCTTCACTTATCGTGGTAACTATGGGAGCAGGGAAATAGAATACAGGGGTTTTCCCGGTTATTGGATCGGAGGACAATCCATGGAACTGCCCGGACACTGGTATTGGGGGAAATCAATGAAAAAGGTCGACTTCAGCATCCTAGGGAGTCACGCTGTTGATATAACTGACAGTAGTTGTCTGTTCCTTGACAGGGCAAATCTGTATCAGGCTGGAAATAAGCCGTGCTACACTGTGATGTACTCAGTCTGTGAAAAAGCACCATACACTGTATAAATTGTACTTAAACATGTATAAGCACGTAACAATTTCAATTCTTTGATTAGCCTTTGTAAAAAAAAATATATCGAAATATATAAAATCTAGTCTGTATATTAAAAAGTTGAATAATATAATAAAATACAATGAATTCCAAAAGTATGTAAAAAAAAAAATAAAATGACTAATTTTTCTATGTTGAGTAAGGATTTTGAGAATATAAAGAAGACCTGAGTGCCTTATGTTAATCAAACAAAAATAGCATCAGCGCATTATCCTCTACTCCTTTTAAATGTCTTTCATTTTCATTCTAAGAATTAGTCTTTGTATGTAAAAAACTGTTAAAATTATTCACATTCATAATTGTTTTCATATTATTACATTCTACATTGGTAATGTAAATGAAAAAAAACCAAAACATTTAAAATTTTGTTTTATAAAGTACACTGCCAGCATCTATTGGTACTGAAGATGTGCTTGCAAAAAGTTATAATATTAATCCTATCATATTTTCCCAAGCACATTTCAAAGTTTATTCAGCTGTATGTAAAAAAATAAATTAAATGTGCTTTACATTGCTCAAATATATAAATTTTCAATAACTTTAGGTTATTTTTCTCCGTGTCTTGTTCATTGGCACGTTCCCGCTACATTCATTCATGGCGGATACTATACTTTCTTTTCCGGAAGCAAAATAAACTCTTACTGAAAAGATGGCAATGAATCATTTTTAGCAAGTATAAATTAATAAAAAGGTACTTAATAAATTCATCATGATAAAGAGTTTGCAAATGATTTATAATGTAACAATACAAGGCGCATAAGACATGTTTTGAAGATGATGCTTACTCCTTCATGGCACATAGTCTCAATTTGTTTTTTCAGAAGTCAATGTTGTTCTCTAGATGTTTTGTATTACCATGAACACTGTACGTGATATTCACGTTTCACTCCAATACTTTGCTATTTATTTCAGAAAATTTCAAAGACACTACAATTTGAAATAAATCAAAATAAAGAATTTTGAATGTTTTTGAAAAGGTTCCTCTGACATATAAATTTTAATATGTACTCAACCATGGTTTTGATAATTATTAAGAAAAAGCACAGTTATTGATGAGCATATTAAAAATAACTTTCTTTGACATTTTGGTATGGATAATATAAGGTAATTGATAGAACAATATTCATAATGTTGCATACATATGTATTTTCGTGCTTTTTACATGTGTGTTCGGCATGCCTTCATAACTGAATA